TGGTTGATACAGAAAAATATATTAGAAAAACGTGAACCAAAGAAACCTGGTATAATGTAGTGAGGTAGCAGACGGCCCTTTTTTATCTAGATGAACAACTGTGAATAGCAAAAGTTACAATATCCACTTAAATAGGGATAAATAGAAACCTCAAAACATCCAGCAAGTGACTAACTTATCTGCACTTGGACCTAGAATTCATCTTTAACTTCCTGTCCCACTTACTCATTCCACATTATTAGTTTCCATATGTAGGTGCTGAGCTAGGGTCTAGAGCAGCGGTTCTCAACCTGTGAGTCACGACCCCTTTGGGGGTCAAACGACCCTTTCACAGGGGTCACCTAAGACCATCGGAAAACACATATATACTTACATATTGTTTTGTGATTAATCACTATGCTTTAATTATGTTCAATTTGTAACACTGAAATTGGGGGTCACTACAACATGAGGAACTGTATTAAAGGGTCACGGCATTAGGAAGGTTGAGAACCACTGGTCTAGGTTGAGAACCTAAATGGAGTAGGTTTCCCACACTCCAGTGTCTTACTAGTAAGTATATTGGTTGAGAAGGGCAGACAAATAACTCAGTGATACAGAGGGGCCATGATAAGAGTATGTCCAAAGTGCTGTGGAAACACGGGGGAAAGTGTCAAACCTAAACATGGGACTGAAGGAGTTAAATTGAGCTGGTCATACTTGAAACCAGTTTTAAAGGATTATTAAGTGTGAGGGGAAGTGAGAGGGAGCAAAAGAGGGCACTTCAGGGAGAGGAAAAAAACATGTTTTCTACTTGGGAAAAACACTAAAAGCTCCCCCCTCTCAAAACTGATCAATCTTACCAATTTGACTTCATTGGAAAAGGCGCTTTCTCTGTTTCCTGCTAAACAAAGACACAGTCTTTCCATCTTCGCTGAAGCAAGAATTTAGGTTTTACCTGGTTTCCTGTCTCCCAAAAGAAAAAGTGAGAGAAAAAGAAAAGTCATAAAATATCAACTTAGGCTAGTGAATTAACAAGTAGGTACCAACTTTCAAGTATCAAAAGCATCATCTAATTAGTGTGTATATTTTCATAACTGCAAATTTTTGAATGACAATAGCAAGATCCCTGTATTTATTAAGGAATAGTACACATGGGGAGATATTTTTCTTCACTTTCTAGGAAAGCATGCATTTAAGAAGAGTTTAATAAATATAGAAAGAATATTTATCACCCAATAATAGAAAAATTTGATGTGCTTTAGAATTGCTGGGTTTGCTGAAGACAAAACAAGATGATTTTTACCTACATTTTCCCAAGATTACTAATAAATGCTAAATCCAGTGAGGAGTAGATATAATAATTTCTTATCTGTGCACAAAACGAGTCTCGCCTGATCTTACATTAAATTAGCACAGAAGTGACTTGATGCTATTTTTAATTCTGCTATATGATTCTGACAGCCTGTTTTCTGTAAAAGTGATGAAAATCGTTCACTGTTTTCAAATGTAGCCCAGCTTGGGTCATTTAACTTTCATGTTGTTAGCATGGTCTACATTTAGTGAAAGTAACACATCTTGAATGTAATTTATTCATTAACTGAAGGCCCGGTGCACAAAATTTGTGCACAGGTAGGATCCCTAGACATGGCCAGCGATAAGGGCCTATCGGGACCTTCTGGCTGCCGGCTGGGGCCTTCCTTCATTCTGCGCTGCCCCCCGGTGGTCAGTACATGTCATAGTGAGCAATCGGTCTCCTGGTCAAACTCCCACAGGGACAATTTGCATATTAGGCTTTTATATATATAGATAGGCATCTATTAAGGGTCTGCTGTGTAAAGGGTTCTTCTGATTCAAAGGGATACAGCTATACTCTCCCCAGAATTCTGTGAAGAAGGGATGAAAGGAAACTCAAGAAGGAGCCATTCACTGTTGAGTCTATTTCTATTTTGCCCCATTTCTGATCATCATTTTCCCTACAATCAGTAAATCCATTTGGCTTATAATTCACTCATTTAGTTTTGGTCTCTCTTCTCCATTTGTCTTGTTATTTCCAACTATCTTTCCATTTTTCTTTTGGAAGTTATTGAATTTCTTCATTTAACTAATCCGACGCATAATGAAAATATTACATGGGTTTCTTTCCTAGAGAAAAGTCATTTATCTGAATTAATAATTTGAACATAGCTGTAAGTTCTTCAGAAAAAAAAAGCTTAATGGCAAAAGCACTTCCCTCAGGGAGAGAAAATCATAGTAAAAGTTGTAGAATGTTTTAGGCCTTTATTCCTCCATAAAGAAGTTTAATTATTTATACACTACTAGAGGCCCAGCGCACAAAATAGTGCGCGAGTAGCTCACCGCTGCTTGCTGCCTCCCCAACCACTGCTCATAGCTCGCCACACCGCCCACCGACACTTGTGGGCGGGAGGGGTGGGGGAGAGGAACTGAGAGGTGGTCAATGCACCTCATGGTGACTGGTTGAGCGGTCGTTCCAGTCATTATGCTTATGGTCCCTGGCCTTTTATTATATAGGATGTGTAGACCAAAATGGAAGTTGGAAAGATTAAACAAAAAAACAAAAAGCACTTAATTCTATGGAAAAACAAATAGTTATAATGCAATGGGTTCATCTTATCCCATTTGTATTTAATCTCATTTCTGTAAGAAAAATAACATGGAAAGCTGAAAGATAGAAGATAATTTAGAAAAAATCAATGGCTAAATAATGATGAAACAAAATAAATTAACACACAATAAAATATTAAAGGACTTTAATACATAGAGTTTGCCTAAGAAAGAACAAATATAGGGTAAAGCTATCATTGTTTGAAAGGTGACTATGAAAAACAGATTTAAAAACAAACTTTTATAATACCTAAAAAATTCAACTTGTAAGATCAAGTATGCAGATTACGAAGGTTAATAGTTTTGAGATGAAGGTTTGGGCTGATCTAATTGAACTAAATATGATAAAATCATGCAGAGAATGGGTAGAGTGCTGACTGATTTTACTATGTGAACTCAGGACCTTCCCTAGCTGTTCACAGGTGGTCACTCTCACTGCCCTGGACATGCCTTCCCAACTCAGCCCCTGGCCACCCTCTTCAGTTCAGCCTGATTCCTCCAGTACTTCTCTCTCTCTCTCTCTCTCTCTCTCTCTCTCTCTCTCTCTCTCTCTCTCTCTCTCTCTCTCACACACACACACACATACACACACTCTCTCTCACAAATACCTCCCACACTAACATGCACACTCATATACACTGTCACATGCTCACAAATACCCTCTTACTCACATACACTGATACCCACCACACACAGACACACATCCACACTTTCTCCCTGCTTATCCTGCAGGTCCCTGAACAGATTCCTTCCTTGCTACTGACCCTTGGCATCGCTGCCCATTTCCTACCTGGCTAAGCCCTCCAGAGTACCATATACCAAACTCACCTGCTACCCACCTAGACTTGAAGATCATTGAGAACAGGAAAAAATGTCATTTTCATACAACCTCCTCCTAGCACATTTCCAGACTTCAGTGAATTCACGTTGAATGCCTAAAAATGAAATGAACCATTGACAACATCTGAATTACAAGGATATCCTCTCTCTCTCTCTCTCTCTCTCTCTCTCTCTCTCTCTCTCTCACACACACACATATTCTCTCTCTCTCTCTCTCTCTCTCTCTCTCCATTCCCCTGTCTAAAATTCAATACAAAATTTTTAAGTTTATTTTTAAATTTTTTAAAACTAAAAGTGAATGACAAATTTGCCTTGACATCTCACTGGTCAAACTTATTTTTGATGCTAAGGCAGTGTGACTAGCACAGGAAGAAAACATTCCCCAGGCTAGATGGTGTTGACCATGGAGCAGAGCAGTTGGTATTTAAATCCATGGAGTCAAGAAGACCTGTCACAGATACCTTTTCATGGGGAGTTTAAAATGCCAAGACAAGGTTGGAATGTCATCCACAAAGAGCAAGAACAGATGTGAAGGAAATTGATATTAAACTCTTCTGGTATAGATTTGTTCTACTTGGAAAAGTCAGAAATGTCTCTCTCTGGGCAGGTGTCAAAGGAGAGTTCTTAACCAATTTCTATGGAGGGGTTTTTGGGAGTTTGGCCCAAAATTTTGGACCTCATACTCTTTTTCAGATCTCTGCACATTAAAGACAACTGGAAGACCTGGGTTCCAATTTGGTCTTGGTGCTGACCAATGATAAATGATATGCTATGGGACCCAGGTACAAATTTAACCCTTTAGCCACCTCACCTACACAAGGCTTATGCTCGAATCAAATTTATATATGTTTGTGAAAGTGTTAGATACAACAAGACTCAGTCAGATATTGTGATATTTCAAGCAAAGAAAAAAGTTGAGAAAATAAACAAATTGAGAAGTAATAGAAGTAAAAAGAGTGGGTATCTAATTGGCATCTCAGATAATTGGCATTTGCTAAAGAGGGTTAATACGTTTAGTAGTCCATCCCAAATTTTTTAAAGTAAGGAGATCCCACTTCTGATGTTAGAAACAAACACACACCAAAACTGTCACATACTTGTGCTGATCTACGATCCATTGCAATTCAGATTGACTTGGGGATCAGACGTGCAATCCACACAAATCTGTCACATTGAGCAAAACTTTTACTTGCTTAATCTAGTCTGACATTGTCAACTACTCATGTATTTATTTTCACTTTATATTTAACTAATTTTTCTAAGGAATTTCCACTCAAAACTCAAATCAATCTAAAATATACAGAATAGTAAACAAATACTTTATGTAAATGAGTTAAAGTGCTTTAAAATAATTTTAAATCACCTTAAAATATAATGTCAAGCGGTGGGAAATAATTGTGGGGATTTTTTCCCCACTCATTGAGTACAGCGTCTTTGTGTGCTTAGGGTAGATTTTAACATTTCCTAATTCCCTGCAGAAATGGTCCGGGAAGCAGTGCTCCCCCATCATTCCTGTGCAGCATTGCTTGACTCTGACGGTGTGTGGTCATTTTCAGAGCTGGAGGCCGAGGAGTGGTGCAAGCATCTCTGTATGGAGTGTCTGGGGACCAGGCTGAATGACATCAGCCTTGGGGAACCTGACCTTCTGGCAGCAGGAGTGCAACGAGAACAGAATGGTAAGTGGGAGTTGCCTTCCCTCATTGTCAAGTACACTAACCGTCATAGAACTTTGAAACTTAAAAGGAGCCCAGAAATGTTTCAGACCAATCATTTTTTCAAGGAAAGTAAACTGATCGACCTGAGCTGTTTAAGAGACTCTCAAGATTGCACAGCAACTGAGATAATGTTAACATAAAACCTGGGTCTCCCGACATCTTTCTTTGTGACATTGCCATTTACCTAAATAAATAACTAATAAGTAAAATCACTGTGTATAAGGTTTTGACTGGACAACATTCTTAAATTTTCTTCTTTGAGAGTTACTATACTTTAGAGTCTATATAAACAAATTTGACTTATTGTGTTATTTATCAATTGATTTCAGGGAATTTGGCTAATACAATGTCTTAGCTTAGAATACCATAACAAAATGCCATAGACTGGGTGGTTTGAACAACAGGAATTAATTTCTCACAGTTCTGGAGGCTGGAAGTCCAAAGTTAACATTTCAGCAGGGTTGGTGCCTGGTAGGGACCCTTTTTCTGGCTTGCTGACAACTGCCTTCTTGCTGTGATCCTGAGAGAGAGAGAGAGAGAGCCCTCTCTTGAGTTTCTTCATATAAGGGCACTAATCCCATAATGAGGGCCCCACTCTCAGTACCTCATCTAAATTTATCCCCAAAGATTCCATCTTTAAATACTATTAATTTTGGAGGACTAGAGCTTCAATATATGAATTTAGGTTGGGGTTGGAGAGATACAATTCATCCCATAGAAACTATAAGTAGGAAAGTACAGTGGATGAAATCTCAGGGTATAAGAAAATTGAGATTTATGTGACACACAGTTTACTTCTAAGTTTACTTCCTACACTGTTCTGTAAATTTAATGGGCCTTGCTGACATCTCTCGAAAATTTATGCTGCAGATTCTTGCCGAGCACCTCTAAATACTGAAATCAGAATGATGTAATGAGCTCCTTTTTCTTCATCTTTAAAAAATCATTACCATCACCACCAGATGATCTAGTGGTATGAAAATAGAAACGTTTCAGTGTTGCTAATTTTTGATGGCCAGGGTTTGAAAAGGGTGACTAATGTTGGCAAAGCTTGACACTAATTATTAAAAAGACTTCTTAGAATTATGCATGGTTTATAGATTAGACAGAACAGGTAGACGTGCACCATGATAACACTTAATATCGTCTTGTTATGACTGATAATGTTCTAACAACCATCACTGTCTTGTAGTTCATTAAAAAGCATTATTTTCTGTTTGTGCTAAAATGAAAACCATGTTTTCCCCACTGATTGATCATGAACACATATGGACTCAAAACACTGCCTGTGTTGATAGTTTTTGGAAGTTCACGAAGGCATTCCTGGGGCTCCTTTTCTAGCTGCCTTTATATCGCAGTTTCCCTTCCACTCTCTTGGAGTTCAGCTCTCTGGTCTATTTTCTGAGAACCGTGCTAAGTGCAGAAAGACCATAATCACACTGTCCAATGTATGCTGCTCAGTTTAAGAAAGAAAAAAAACAGAAAAAGAAAAAAAACTCTGGCTGTTAACATTTGTCAAGTACGACATGAAAGAAATACGAAGAAAGCCGCTAAGTCAGGCCTAGGAGAGAGGAAGAATTATTGTGCATTTGTTCAGTGTGAATTGTATGCTTTTATTTGAATACTGGGTTTGTAGATGGTTTCCATCCAAATGGGTAACGTGCTCCTTTGGTTTAGTGTAATTTTTAAATCTAACTTGATAATAATGTCAAAGTAACTTGCCTAGCATATAAAGGGAAATTTTTAATATGGTTTTTTTTTTAGCTAGGTCAAGCACAGAATTCAGTGCCAGAGCTATTTATAAAAAGCATAGGCAGTTGTAGCCTGCTGAGTAATCTCCAGGCCACAGTATAAATGCAGGCTATTCCCACAGACAAGTAACTCGCTTCTAATTTCAGTTTCCTAATTTCAGTGTAAAGATGAACTAATATTTGCTCATGGGGCTGTCATGATGGTGAAGTGAGGTCGTATCAAATAAAGACCAACTCTCCTGCTTAGCTCAATTTAAAAAATCACAAGTGTTTTTAAGCATAAGTAAAAACAAACAAAAAAATCAAAAAATAATGCCTGAATATATGTGAGAAGACCTGAAGTCATAAAGCTCTTCTTTATGCCTTCCAGTCACTATTCCAGCATCTTCAAGCATAAAACCTCTAGACATAAACAAAATCCTTAACTTCTTAAGACATGTTTGAAGTCATTAATATGTACAAATTAGAATAAATCCTTTTTGAAATATTTATCATTACAGATTTGGTCTTCTTTCCTTAAGGGATTTTAGTATTAAATTACACAATTTAACCTTCATCAGAAATATTATTTTACTATTTTATTAATGACTAAAGGCCCAGTGCACGAAATTTGTGCACTGCGGGAGAGGGGTTCCTCAGCACGGTCTGCACCCTCTTGCAGTCCAGAACACCTCAATCCTTACCGCCTGCCTGCTCACTGCTCCTTACCGCTCAGCTCATTGCGTCTGCCCCCTGGTAGGGAGGGACCTCAAGAAGGCTCCCAGCAAGCTAACCTATCAGTCAGAGCGTCTGCCCCCTGGTGGTCAGTGCACGTCATAGCGACTGGTCAGCCAGTCGACTGTCTGCCCCCCTGGTGGTTAATCCACATCATAGCAAGCAGTTGAACAGCCTTAGCATATCATTAGCATATTACACTTTGATTGATTGAACAGACTACCAGACACTTAGCATATTAGGCTTTTATTATATAGGATGTGCTTGGATTTCATTTACAGTTTCTCTTGAGTAGTGAGGTGCACATGTGTGCAGAACTGAAATAGTAAACTACATTATTGTGGCTTGTGGTGATTGTGTGGTGTCCTATCGTCAAGGAAACACTTACTGCGCAGCCTTGATCACCACATGTTTTGGACATTCAAAATTGCTACTTTCCTCTACTGTTTTTCCAACTCTTCAGACAGCTTGATCTTATTTATTCTGAGACTAGCTAAGAATGAAGCTTTGTGCAAATAATTTTTAAAGGTGTAATTTGTGTTGCTGAGATAAAAGTTATCGGTTAAAATCTTTGCTAAAATCATCTTTATCTAATGCTTCCAGCTGCTTTTGTATTGACTCTGAATCTCACATGGTACAGGGAAAAGTAAGCAAACACAAGCACACACACAGACTTATTCTTAGACGTTGGATAACACTGCCACAAGAAAGTGTATATTAAGTACACATTTTAAACTTTAAATTTGTACAACTTCCAGGATCTTCACATCTTTTAATAGTACTTAAGATAGCCTACAGTGACCTCAGAATGTGACCTGGTTGGGAATACGGTCTTTACAGAGATAATCAAATTTAAATGTGGCCATTAGAATGAGCCCTAATCCAATATGACCTTCACTATGTCCTTATAAAGAGGAGAAATTTGGAGACAGAAACAGACATGCACAGAGGAAAGGTGATCTGAAGACACATGAAGAGAACACAGCCGTGTGAAGGGAGTGAGGCATCTACAGGATGTGGGTTGCTGGCAAACACGGAAGCTAGAAGGGACCAAGAAGGATTCTCCCTCTTGAGCCTCGTAGAGAGCACAGCCTTGCTGACACTTCGAGGTCAAACTTTGTCTCTAGAACCACCAGACATTAATTTCTGTTGTTTTAAGCAACCCAGTTTTTAAAATACAATATGAATTTATGAAAATAACTTTCTAAACCTAGGAATAGAAGAAAACTTTCTCAAACTGATGAAGGACATCAATGAAAAACCTTCAAAAATTATCATTCTTGAAGGTAAAATACTGACTGCTACCTTCATATGATTATAAATAAACAAAGACATCCTCTTCTATCACCTGTATTCAGTATTCTACTTAAGGTCCTAATTTGTGTAATATTACAAGAAAATAAAATCATAAAAATTAGTTTAAAATAATAATAATAAGCTAGGGTTGTGTACCTGGAATACCCAAAGGAATTTTTAAGGAAGCAACTAAGACTAAGTAAATTCAGGGATGTTGCAGAATAAAAAGTTAATATGTAAAAATTTAATATAATATGTGATACATTGTAATCCATATACTATTTACACACATACTAGCAATAAACAATAAACATTTGCAAAATGAAATATAAAAAATATCATTTATAAAATCATCCAAAATCACATACTCAAAGATAAACTTGGCAAAGTATATAACCTTGTCTCTACACTGAAAACTCAATATTACTGAGAGAAATTAGAAGAGATCTAAATAAATGAAGCAGTAAACCAGGTTGGTGATTGCAACATTCAATACTGATAAGAAACTGTGACTTGAATATCAAGAAACTGGCCGAAGAGCTCATCGTCCCTTTGTCTTCTGTTTATTTCTACTCACTGGAGGTGGTTTTGCTTCATGTCAGAAACCCCGTCCCTGATCCTCTACTTCCCGCTGCAGCAGGAAGGACTCGTCCCACTTACCTCCATCTGCCAGGCAAGCTCATCGCTATACATGGATCAGTTCCTGCCCAAAACTTGGTCTATTTAAAATGCTGGTGGCGGAGAAAGGAAGGTTTGGTCCTTCTCAGGGCTGATGACCCATTCGGTCTCATACACACATAGTCTGGGGTTTTACTGTTCCTTTTCCTGGACCATTTCTCCTGAGCGCAATGGCCCTTTCTCACCAGACCTTGTCCAATTCGATTTAACTAAACCTTGTTTGGTAACTCCCTTGAGACTGTTCTTGGAGTTGTGAATGTAACCCTATGTGCCTGCCTTTTGAGGTTCAGTCTGTTCCATTGGACCTCTCAACCCAGCCCTGGTGTAAAAATGCCCTTGCAGATCTAACTGTAAATTCAGCTACATTCTTTGTGGGACATTAGTTTAATAAATATCTTACCTTTTATTGGTTTTGGCCATTTAAAATAAAATTATATTTTCCAATAAGGACTCCCAGCGATCTGAGTTTAAACAGGCCCTTTAGGTCATTTTGATGCCCACAAAAGCCTGAAAACCAGTGCTCTAGGCAGTAAAAACCAAATGTAGGTTCATAAATATGAAAGTGACATGATTAGAGAGATGTTTAAAACACCTGCCTGGTAAAATTATTTTATAAAGATAAACATTTTAAAAAGTCATTTTAGGAAAACCATAAAAATATTATAAGAATCCATAGGCAGCAAAATATCAGACATATGTCATAGCAATATCTTTACTGATATATCTCTTAGGACAATGGAAACTAAGGAGAAAATAAACAAATGGGACTACATCAAAATAAAAGGCTCTGTACAACAAAAGAAACCATCAACAAAACAACAAGAAAACCTACTGAATGGGAGAACATATTTACCAATGTGACATCTGATAAGGGTTTAATCTCCAAAATGTATAGGGAACTCATACAACTTAACAAAAGGAAGATAAACAGTCCAATCAAAAAATGGGCAAAAGACCTAAATAGACACTTTTTGAAAGTGGACATACAGAAGGCCAAGAGATATATGAAAACATGCTCAAAGTCACTAATCATCTGAGAGATGCAAATCAAAACAACAATGAGGTACCCCCTCACACCTGTCAGAATGGCTATCATCAACAAATCAACAAATGACATGTGCTGGCGAGGATGTGGAGAAAAAGGAACCTTCTGGCACTGTTGGTGGGAATGCAGACTGGTGCAGCCACTGTGGAGAACAGTATGGAGTTTCCTCAAAAAATTAAAAATGGAACTCCCATTTGACCTAGTGATCCCACTTCTAGGAATATATCCCGAGAAACCAGAAACACCAATCAGAAAAGATATATGCACCCCTATGTTCATAACAGCACAATTTACCATAGCTAAGATTTGGAAATAGCCTAAGTGCCCATCAGCAGATGAGTAGATTAAAAAACTGTGGTACATCTACACAATGAAATACTATGCTGCTATAAAAAAGAAGGAACTTTTACCATTTGTAACTGCATGGTTGGACCTGGAGAACATTAGGCTAAGTGAAATAAGCCAGTCAGAGAAAGATAAATATCACATGATCTCACTCATTTGTGAATTATAATGAACAGCATAAACTGATGAACAAAAATAGATCCAGAGACATAGAAGCATCAAACAGACCTTTGAGCATCAGAGGTAAGAGACCAACCAAAGGACTTGTATGCACACAGATAAGCATAACCAAAGTACACAGACAGTAGGGGGGTTGGGACATGTGCTGGGGGTGGAGGGAGCAGCCAGGGAGAGGTCAATGGGGGGAAAAGGAGATATATGTAATACTTTCAACAATAAAGAATTTTTTTTAAAGTCCTTTTAGTGGAGCCAATTTTAACTTTGTCATATTGAAATGGTCTTTCCAATGGAAACCATAATGAATTTGAGCAACAGCCTGTTTTATATTAGTAAGGGCATGAAGTAAATTATTCATAGCAAGTGCAGAAACCTTCCTTCCATTATAATGGAATAGGAAAAAGTATAATTTACTAGATAATTGATGCACTGCTCTCATCTTTATGTGCCCAGTTTTCTGCTGGATTACATTAGTCTAGTTTTTAATTGAATCTCTAATCCTTGGAAATTAGGGGAGGGTGGATTTGAATATTTAAAAATTGGAAATAAAATAGGATAAATTTTTCATAAGATGCAAGAAATAGCATTAAAAGGGAGACTGGAGTATTCTGAATCATATTAAGAAGGGGTTAACTTGAGTTGCTAGGTAACAAAGTGTGTGAAGGCTGAGAAATTTGAAGGCAGGCAAGGGGGAAGGGCCACCACAGGTACCTTTCACCTGCACTATGTTGCCTGGAGCTGGCTCTGGAAGGACTCCTTGGGGCAAGTTACTCAATCACTTTGTGTTTACTTATAAAGATCTAGAGCTCTATAGTATGTGAAGCTTATTAAATTCACTTATTTATTATTCTCCAGCTTTTCCCCATGTCCACTGTGATGACTGGACTCTGTCTTCATCATCTCTAGGATTTATCTGCTAACAGAGCACAAAGACATTTCAGGGAAAATATGGTTCTCCTGAGTCCTCTGATGTTTCGTGTTCCATCTACCTGAAGGGCACTCAATGTCACGATTATTTTTTTTACATCTTTTTTTAAAAATATCAAACTGTGGGTGTGAATATCAAGGGTCAATGTGGCCCTAAGCAATAGTAAAATTGGTTAATGATGTTCATTTATTTCAGTATTTTGAAAGAAGTGTTATTTCTTGACTTTTGGGCAGTGATTCTTCGGTTGCTATCCTCAGACTCTGGAACTGATGGAAAGAAAGGAATTTAGAGGAATGTTTTACTTTCTACTTTTGTAAAAATATTTTCCCTATCCACAATAAATGCCACTGACGTATCATTAGTTCCAAGTGGAAAAGCTGAACTTCATCCAAAGGGTCTTGACCAAAGAAAAAAAGACTGCTGTTCAGGCATTCTCTATATTCCTGAGTCACTCTGTTTGGTCCAAGTTTCATTTATATTCTTATATGAGATCATGCCCCTTTGGTATACTACTTGTCAACCCCGTTGGTGTGGGAATTGTGGTAGAAATGTGAGTGATATTTTTAATGCTAAATGTTCATACCTTACTTGGTTTACACAAGAATTTTTGAATTTAGAATATATATTTCATAAATATATATGTGTGTGTGTGTGTGTGTGCGCGTGTGCTTTTTATTGCAGATAATTAATAGGGCAATGTTCTTTCTTCATTTATCATCTATAGAATTTATCTTAATTTGTCTTTAGGAAATGAATGTGAAATCATATACATATTAGTTTTATAGGTCAATAATCTTAGTAAAAAATTGAATCATTAGATTATTTTAATCAAAAATATCTAGACACTTGATTATAACTATTGTTCATATGGTTACTAAATTTCAAGCTGTCATGCTTAAATTAAATTTAACCTATTTAGAATCCGATTTTACTGTGGTGTTTTTTTTTTTTTGCATCAATAAATCGTTATTCTGCAAAATACCTGCCACAGAAAAGATTCTTTCTATTATACAGACAATGCCAGCTCGGTACAAGCCGTCAGTGTTTAAATTGAGGCATTCTGATGAATGATAGCACATTCCTAAACATATCAATCCTCTTCCAACTGCAACTGCACCATTATCCCTTTCAAAATAATTAATTCAACAGCACTGCCTTTAATGTACTATTCATAATTAAATTTATAAACTCACAAGGATTTATCTACCAGTAATTCTTACAATTTTTGTTATCATGACTCATTATTTGTTTGTAATTCCTCAATTCTTGCAAACCATATTTATTATGGCAATATTTATTTTATTCATAGTTAACCAATATTTATTTATCACTTACTTTAAACTAAGACTAGGAACTAGGGATATTTTATAGGACACTTTACAGGTCATCCTAAGGTCTTTACTTCCTGGAACTTAGAAACTAACCTTATTTTCCAAAATTAAATGCATATAATGCATTTAACTGGAGATTAGAGGCTGCATAATTTTGTGGTAGCCTTTAGGATACACAAAAAGTTATAAAACTAGATTTGGAATTATTACCTAATAATCAGATTTTCGAGTATAAAATATCCAGGAATGAAAACAGTTGTGTATTTTTATTTTTGCGTACCAAAAACCACATTATGAAGTCCTGCAGAAGGCAGTAATGAATACCTGCAATTATCATGGGCTGAAACTGACAGTGAATACAATGTGTTTTGACAGTCAATCTGAGTGTGCATTGAGTACTTCATGCCACAAAGGTAAAAATGAGTACATTTTTGCTTAAATTAAATGACATTCCTCTCAGGAATTGTATGATATCCACTTAAAGTGTGTGAAGAAGCAGACAGGAAGCACCAATTGGGCTGAAATCCACTTAGCTTTTTACCCTCATTTCTCCACCATACAATTTAACCATTTAATCCCCACCATAGAGAATGCATGCAACAAAAGTTGTAGGATGAGTGAGTTAATTAATGATTAAGAATACTTGAAGTCCTTTTTTCATACACCATTTGGAAGACAGTGATGTCTTGAAGTGTATATGGATATCCCCCAGGGACACGAGACCACTTTCTGAGGGCTGTAGGCAGGTAGACAATCAATCCAGTGCAGCTACAGTCATGCCCTCTTCTCCATTCTTTGTTTCTTTGCAGAGCGATTCAATGTGTATCTGATGCCTACACCAAATCTGGATATTTACGGCGAATGCACAATGCAGATCACTCATGAGAATATCTATCTCTGGGATATCCACAATGCCAAGGTCAAACTGGTGATGTGGCCTCTCAGCTCCTTGAGGAGATACGGGCGGGACTCCACGTGGTTCACCTTTGAGTCAGGAAGGTAAGCTCTAAGGGCAACAACCAAGCATAGGAGGTGACAGGTAAACCTTTTCCTGAAGGAAAGGTGCAATCTAACAGTTCCCAGACTGACCACTGTTTTTATAAAGGTTAGAATTCACCAAACACATAATTTCTCCAGATTCTTGTTTATAATAGAACTAGAGGCCCGGTGCACATAAATTTATGTACTTGAGGGGGAGGGGGGGCGTCCCTCAGCCTGGCCTGTGCCCTCTCACAGTCTGGGACCCCTCGGGAGATAACGCCCTGCTGGCTTAGGCCTGCTCCCGGGTGGCAGAGGGCAGGCCCAATCCCTAGGTGCAGCCCCTGGTCGGGCTCAGAGCAGGGCTGATTGGGGAGTTGGGGCGCCGCCCCCTGTCATGCACAGAGCAGGGCAGATTGGGAGGTTGCGATGCCACCCTCAGTCACGCTCAGGGTAGAGCCGATTGGGGGGTTGGGGCACCGCCCCCTGTCACACTCAAGGTAGGGTCCATGGGGAGGTTGTGGCACCACCCCCTGTCACGCACAGAGCAGGGCCGATCAGGGTGTTGGGGAGCTCCCCTCCGTCACACACAGAGCAGGGCCCATCAGGGGGTTGGGGAGCTCCCCCTGTCACTCACAAAGTAGGGCCGATAGGGGAGTTGGGGCACCGCCCCCTGTCACACACAGAGCAGGGCCCATCAGGGGGTTGGGGAGCTCCCCTGTCACTCACAAAGTAGGGCCGATAGGGGAGTTGGGGCACCGCCCCTTGTCACACACAGAGCAGGGCCCATCAGGGGGTTGGGGAGCTCCCCCTGTCACTCACAAAGTAGGGCCGATAGGGGAGTTGGGGCACCGCCCCCTGTCACACACAGAGCAGGGTGGATCAGGGGGTTGGGGTGCCACCCTCTATCACCCACAGAGCAGGGCCGATCAGGGGGTTGGGGCGCCGCCACTCCCACACTCAGGGCATGGCCGATGGGGAGGTTATGGCTCTACCCCATCACACACAGAGCAGGGCCTGTGGGGGGGGGGGGGCGCTGCACCCTGTCACACACAGAGCCGCAGGGCAATCAGGGGGTTGGGGAGCTCCCCCGTATCAGGCACAGAGCAGGGCTGATCAGGAGGTTGGGGCGCCTTCCCCTGTCACAAACAGAGCAGGGTGGATAGGGAGGTTGTGGCCCCGCCCCGTCACACACAGAGCCTCAGGGCTATCAGGGGGTTTGGGCGCTGCCCCCTGTCACGCTGATCCCGGTGCTGGGAGGCCTCGCGGCTCCACTGATCCCGGTGCTGGGAGGCATATTACCCTTTTACTATATAGGATAGAGGCCTGGTGCATGGGTGGGGCTGGCTGGTTTGCCCTGAAGGGTGTCCTGGATTAGGGTGGGGGTCCCCACTGGGGTGTCTGGCCAGCCTGGGTGAGGGGATGATGGCTGTTTGCAGCTGGTCTCACACCCTTCAGGGTGGGGGTCCCCACTGGGGTGCCTGGCCAGCCTGGATGAGGGGATGATGACTGTTTGCAGCTGGTCACACACCCTTCATTGTGGGGGTCCCCACTGGGATGCCTGGCCAGTCTGGGGGAGGGGCTGAGGGCTGTTTTCAGGCTGGCGGGTGACGGAAGCTCCCAACCGCTCCTTTTTTTCTTTTTTTTTTTATTCTGGGCCAGCTTTAACTCTGAGGCTCCAGCTCTTAGGCCTCCGCTCCTGAAAGCAGGTATCTGGTTTGTTTCGGTTCTATAATTGAAACACTGTTTCAACTCCAGCTCTGAGATCCCGGCTGGCTGAAAGCAGGTTTCTGGGGTTTTGTTTAGCTTCTATATTTGTTACAATGTTTCTTAAACTGCAAGCTCAGAGGCCGTCAAGGCAGGCGGGGAATGTTGGAGTCCTCCATCAAGCCTCAGGTTAGTTTCGAGCTGCCTGGCTGCCGGCCGCCATCTTGGCTGGCAGTTAATTTGCATATCGCCCTGATTAGCCAATGGGAAGGGTAGCGGTTGTACACTAATTACCATGTTTCTCTTTTATTAGATAGGATAAAATTGTGTTAATTTTATGGTCAGGTTAATTACCCTACTCAAAATTATTTCAGTCTCTTAGGTTGGCATCAAACTAGTTGCATAATTGTATTAATAATACAATATAGTTTGTAATATTACAATAACATATTGTATCCTACTATATTTTTAGTACAATAGAATTCACATAAAATTCAGCATATCCTTGCTGGCATTATTTTCTGAGTGCTTGCAAATGATTTTGAAAGAAGTTTTATATAAAATTGTTTAAATATTATTTGTAGGTTTAAAATAAGCTAATGAATATTTATCAAGGTGTTTATGTTAATAACATTAGTTAAGTATAAATATTAATTCAGAATTACTGAACACATGTTGACAAATCTATAATTCATGGAATGGATAACTCAGATTTTAAACTTAGTATGTCAAGGCATATAGTTGGAATCCATAAATGTCAGAAGTGAATGCTTATTTCCCAATCATTTATCCACAAACAAGATTTAGAGATGAGTTTCAACCAACTAAATCAATGTGTTTATGCTATGACCCCTTTGTGATATTGTTATCATGCATCTAAGACAAGACCTAGGTTTTGGTCTGTATCTGAGAGAAGTTTAATGTACCAGGCCTCACCCTGGAGATATGGTTCATCACATTCTGAAAATGAATTTATGGTATTATAGGTAATTACAGTGAAGTTTTGTTGCACTTGATATAGCAATTTTAATTACATAAGTTTCTTCTTACAAAACTGTTAAGTACTTATTCAAGGTCAGATTCTACTAATATCCATCTAGGGTAGGCCAGATGTCTTTTAAATTTTTCAAGGGGAGAAAAACTGAGCAGAAGTAATTTTATGAGTCTGAAGCCCTTTTGCACCTTTTGCACCTTTTGCACGAAGGTATTATTAAAGTCGGGAGCACATTGATTTCTTGAAAAGCCTCCAATCTTGCGTTTACTTAGTGGCTGTGAGTTCACTCAACTGTCTGCCTAGATACTGGCAGTGTAACCATAATCACATTCTAGATACTTATTAGTAAAAGAAATTCTTATAAGAAAATGAATATTATTCTACATGTACACTATTTTTTTTTAAATCATATAGTTATGAAAAAGGGATTACATGTTAGAGATTGACATAAAATTTGTGATACATTTTTTTGCTGGCCTCAAATGTTAGTGGATGTACATATAAAAAGAGATTGGTTTATTTTTCATCATTTAAAAATATACCTCCAGGGTACTCTTGCCTGCATCTTTCTCCTGGGTACTCCTATTTTCCTTTTTTTATGTGGAGCAATTGAAATATTTTGTTTGTTTCCTCATTTCAGTAGGTGTCTCAGGATTTTTAAAAAACAAGTAGTTATTTTTGCTTTTATAGTGGTTACCCTGTGTTTTCACTGCATTTGCACCTGTCTGTATTAGTTTTACTTTGTTTCTTCAAAGTCTCTAAGGGGGATATATTGGTTCACCACAGGTTTAAAATTGATGTTCTCAACCAAAACATCAAATTATTTGATGTGCAATTTGGCTTATCTAACATTCAGTATTAATTGGTTTTCTATGACGTTGATAATTTTTAATGTACATGAAAAGACATAAATATATCAAAATAGATAAGGCCCATAATCCTCAAGCTTTCTTTGTTTGGTTTGGTTTTCATTTTTGTTTGTTTTTTGGTTTAGCAGTAATTTTTGTTGTTTTTGTTGTTGCATGCCAGAAAAACTTTAAGAATAAATATCTTAATGTCTATTAAGTATGTTGACACCTACACTCCTATGTGCCCTAGGAATCAGGGAAAACTAGATTTAGGTCACAGCTCTGTCACTATTAATAACTTAGCTTGCTCCGTTTGACCTCTCTGGCCTTCACTGTTCGTCTTGCAGAGGAGAATTATAATCTCTACTTCATATATATGTGTGGAAAGAGTGAGTGACTTAGTGAATATAAAGAAGCATACATCACAGTGTTGTCACATAGTGGGCACTGGAGAATCTTGATTACTCCTACTCTTTAAAAAAAACATGTTTTTATTGATTTCAGAGAGGAAGAGATAGGGAGAGAGAGAAATAGAAACATCAGTGATGAGAGAGAAGCATTGATCAGCTGCCTTCTGCATGCCCCTTACTCGGGGGTCAAGACTGCAACCCAGGCATGTGCCCTGACCAGGAATGGAACTATGACCTCCTGGTTCATAGGTCGACTCTCAACCACTGAGCTACACAGGCTGGACTTGATTACTCCTACTCTTTATCAGTAATTACATAATTTGGCCTTTTCTAGTTTCTGAATGAAGCTTCTGCTTAGGTCTAAAGAGCTCTCTTCCTAAAGAACACTGCTAAGATATATCCTTAGCCAAAAACACAAGAAACCAAGGAAAAAGCTTGGGAGAAGCTTGCATTCATTCAAATGCTGGAGTGATCATTATAAACTCAATGTCTAGAATGGGAAGTTCATGTTACCCGTCTTGAGTCAGGAATTTGAGGCCAAGAGAAAATGGGACAAGGTGCAACAAGACATGGCAGTACAGACAAAGGGAAGAATGAGTGCCTGAGCAAAATTTATGGATTACTAGGTGCCTGTTTCATTGATAAGCAGCAGATACACAAGAACTCTATAATTGACCATGCTTAAGTCTTTGGAATGAATTTACATTCCAATATTATTATCTGTGAAGAAGTCAAACTTCTTTACCCATAAAATAGTAAGGGAAAAAAATCTAAAGGAATCTTAACAAAAAGCTACTAAAATTTAGAAGTGAATTTAGCAAGGTTTCAGCATATAATATCAATATACAAAAATCAATTTTATTGTATATGTAATCTATGAAGAGTTCAAAAATAGACACCTGCATAATAGCCTTTTATTTTTCAACAATATGCTGAGAATATTCAATGTGGAAAAGAAACAATGGTGCTGAAATGACTGGATACCCACAAAGTAGAAAAATAAACTTTAGGTCCTATCTCACTGCTAGGTACTAAATTATGTCTGCCCCTAAAATTCATACG